AAATTAATAAATTAATAAATTAATAAATTAATAAATTAATAAATTAATAAATTAATAAATTAATAAATTAATAAATTAATAAATTAATAAATTAATAAATTAATAAATTAATAAATTAATAAATTAATAAATTAATAAATTAATAAATTAATAAATTAATAAATTAATAAATTAATAAATTAATAAATTAATAAATTAATAAATTAATAAATTAATAAATTAATAAATTAATAAATTAATAAATTAATAAATTAATAAATTAATAAATTAATAAATTATTAAATTAATAAATTAATAAATTAATAAATTAATAAATTAATAAATTAATAAATTAATAAATTAATAAATTAATAAATTAATAAATTAATAAATTAATAAATTAATAAATTAATAAATTAATAAATTAATAAATTAATAAATTAATAAATTAATAAATTAATAAATTAATAAATTAATAAATTAATAAATTAATAAATTAATAAATTAATAAATTAATAAATTAATAAATTAATAAATTAATAAATTAATAAATTAATAAATTAATAAATTAATAAATTAATAAATTAATAAATTAATAAATTAATAAATTAATAAATTAATAAATTAATAAATTAATAAATTAATAAATTAATAAATTAATAAATTAATAAATTAATAAATTAATAAATTAATAAATTAATAAATTAATAAATTAATAAATTAATAAATTAATAAATTAATAAATTAATAAATTAATAAATTAATAAATTAATAAATTAATAAATTAATAAATTAATAAATTAATAAATTAATAAATTAATAAATTAATAAATTAATAAATTAATAAATTAATAAATTAATAAATTAATAAATTAATAAATTAATAAATTAATAAATTAATAAATTAATAAATTAATAAATTAAATAAATTAATAAATTAATAAATTAATAAATTAATAATTAATAATTAATAATTAATAATTAATAATTAATAATTAATAATTAATAATTAATAATTAATAATTAATAATTAATAATTAATAATTAATAATTAATAATTAATAATTAATAATTAATAATTAATAATTAATAATTAATAATTAATAATTAATAATTAATAATTAATAATTAATAATTAATAATTAATAATTAATAATTAATAATTAATAATTAATAATTAATAATTAATAATTAATAATTAATAATTAATAATTAATAATTAATAATTAATAATTAATAATTAATAATTAATAATAATAATTAATAATTAATAATTAATAATTAATAATTAATAATTAATAATTAATAATTAATAATCAAGTAAACCTAATATTTAAAATGTGTGAAAGTTTTTTTTAAAAACCGATTTACAATTAATGCAATAAGTATTGACGTTATTACCCACAATATAAAATAGCGACTACATTAAAATATTGGTGGGTCCGTCGAGGAATACTGAGGTGCGAATTTTGTAAAAAAAAATAAACACTCAAAAGTAACTAGTTTCTATAGTAAATTTTCGTAAAAAAAATCCTGTAAAAACCAGTATTTTTTTGAGAAAAATCTAATTAAAAATCTCAATTTTACAGGTTATATTCACAAAACAGTTACTCTAGATGGCAAATTCGATCTTGAAAATTACAATGTTGCCAAGTTGTTAACGAAATTGTCACTTTCAGGATTATTTAAAATGTATAAATTAGGAGATTATAAAAAACAAGAAGACGAAGCATCGACTTCTCGTGCGACAATGTTGTCATATCAATTATCACATAGCAATGGCCATTCTTAGCCTATGCCCTGTGTTGTACCAGGTCAACCAATTGATTTCAGTATCAGAAAAATTATATAAAACTAACGATTTAAAAAATGCCCCTAGCAACGACCCCTTGTAGGGTGGCGGCTGGAAGAAAAAAGTGTAATGATTCCAAAAGTTAGGTTAAAACAGACAAAAAATTGCATTTTATTATAATATAAATAAAAATAACAAGTGAAATATAATTTTACCAATGTAATTTCAGTTAAAACATTATAAAAACTAAATTACTTCAATATACTAGTGCTAAAACTTCGAAATTACCGCCTCAGGATAGTAGGATGAAACCGTTGATTCTATAAATAAGACATAATAACTTGATTTTCAATATACGCCATGCATAATTTAAAATTGGGATATTTTAAAAACTTTCGTTGAACCCTTTTTATGCAGGTTTTTTTTTATATCAAATTAATTCAAGTTTGGAACGTATACTAAGGATACAAATAATTATTATTACACAAAATACCTTCTTCTTATTAAATTCGTGACAAAAGATTTATAATGCCCAATGACTACAACAGATTTTCTTTTTTATACCTTTTTTCGGTTGCGACTTCAACGCCTCAGTAACTCATTCGTTCTAGGAAAAGTTTCTGGTTACACCTAAAGCGAGATGTAACTCACACTGCAAGTTACATATTACATGTAACATGACAAGCGATGATGCCGTGATGCCATACCGGTAACGAGGTTTTTGTTTCTACCGTTTTTTCACATAACCGTTTTTTAGATTTTAAGCAAAATAAATTTAATTGTAAATCATTTTTATTTCTAAGGATGTAAATGAGCATTGTGTAAAAGTTCAGGGGGGCTATGAAAAGATTTACTATATTTTTTTTATTAAAAATAAAAAAAATAGTCGTGGATAAAATATACTGTTCTACTTGTATATAAAGTCTATTATTCACTAGCTTACGACTCGTGTTATTTTAATGAATAGCCCATCATTATATGATGCTCATAGATTAATAGTCATCATAATTATATGCCCGTTGATTAATAGACTATTAATTATTCAAGTTCATTTTTAATTTCGTTAGAAATATGTTGTGATTCATTTTATTGAAGTTCTTTAAACGAATCCATTTTTAATTAATCCGCCTTAAAGCAAGCAGCGATCTGGGTTGCTAGTGTTAATGTGCATTCGTTCGGTCCTCTTGAACAACAATTGAATCAAATGCAAATACAGAAAACGCCTCTAAACTATTTAGACTCTCTCGGATGGGATTATTTAATTAACTTCATCAAATTATATCGGGCTCCGATCCGAAAAGTATTTGCTAAAACCGCCCGAATCAGATTGAAATCTGGATTGAGTTTAAATCGGTGAATGAAGACACGAAAGGGGTGAGATTGTGGAAGTATGTAAATGAATGATAAAGTCAAAGTAAATACCTTTCTAAAATAATTTTATTTACGAAATCAATCCTAAAGTATTCAGATACATTTCTGTGTATTTTTTATACAAAAATAAGATTCGCTTTTTAAAAATTTTGAATTATTTTATGAGAAGACAATAGGAAAAACAAACAAATGTATTGTAATGCGAGCCATTTCATTATTCAGTCATGCTTTAATCATCCAAGTGCCTCTCTGTCTTATTTGGCTTTTGAGGGTCAACTTTTCCGATTATCATACATAATTAAGACCAAACATGGTGAGAAGAAGGCGCTTTCGATTACATTCCAGATTGAACGTGATAATGTGGCTAACTTTGGCGAGAACATTCTAGAACCTTCACCATAATTTTAAATGTGTATATAAATATTGATGGAGGAACACAGAGCGGTCAGTCGTATACAAATAGTTGTAAAGATAGTGAACAATTTAAAGATATTCGAAATATAAATAAATTAGAATAGTATTGTTTTAAAATAAATAAATGTTCAAATAAATTGTTAAGATTCAAACAAACTGTTGTTTAAATAAACAAATGCTACAGTATCTAATAATATCCTGAACTACCACAGTTGCATTACATTTTGTAAGTTAAATTCAAAACTAAGTCAAATAGGTCCTGTTCTTCGAAACAGTACATGACGTAATATGTCAGTGGTAACTGCGATATTCGCACCCGTGAAATTTATTTTCGCGTACATAAATAGTTTAGCACAGCACAGCTGATCGATCCATGTGATAGTTGGCGTTGCGCCTTCCTCCCACTTATTTAGAGTTGCATATTCATTCCACTTTCGATTTAATGTTAAATTCATCTAAATTAAGTGACATCAGCACAATCAGCTGACTTTTTTCATTTTACGAGACAGATCGACTTTCTTTAGGCTCTAATCCTTTCAAGACTATTATGCACCAGACAGAATTCTTTTACGAGTGAATGTTTAACTTGAAATATAACCTTATAACAGTAAATTCATTGTGATATGTTATCAATTGTTAACATTGAAACATAACTTACATATATAATTTTTCCTTTATTAAAGGTATACAATTATATTTCATTTATTAATTATTAATTTTATTAATTATTAATTTTATTAATTATTAATTTTATTAATTATTAATTTTATTAATTATTAATTTTATTAATTATTAATTTTATTAATTATTAATTTTATTAATTATTAATTTTATTAATTATTAATTTTATTAATTATTAATTTTATTAATTATTAATTTTATTAATTATTAATTTTATTAATTATTAATTTTATTAATTATTAATTTTATTAATTATTAATTTTATTAATTATTAATTTTATTAATTATTAATTTTATTAATTATTAATTTTATTAATTATTAATTTTATTAATTATTAATTATTAATTATTAATTATTAATTATTAATTATTAATTATTAATTATTAATTATTAATTATTAATTATTAATTATTAATTATTAATTATTAATTATTAATTATTAATTATTAATTATTAATTATTAATTATTAATTATTAATTATTAATTATTAATTATTAATTATTAATTATTAATTATTAATTATTAATTATTAATTATTAATTATTAATTATTAATTATTAATTATTAATTATTAATTATTAATTATTAATTATTAATTATTAATTATTAATTATTAATTATTAATTATTAATTATTAATTATTAATTATTAATTATTAATTATTAATTATTAATTATTAATTATTAATTATTAATTATATTACACATAAATATGAAATGAAAATTTTGACGCGTTGTTTAGGCTAATTGTTTTAAACTTACCCTGCATTTTCCAACGATCCAATCGACATGTGCGCGACATGAGCGGGAGCCGGTGCGGCGGTAGGAGGCGGCCGCAAATAGTCGGCCCTCTCCAGAGAGCCCAACAAGAAGTTCCTGTCCGACGCAACGGCCGCCTCGGCAGCCGCCGTCAAGAAGTCCTCGCCGAGCAACTCCACCTCTTCGTTACCGCCAGGGGCACCGTCGCCGGCGATTGCTTTGTCGCCCGTGTAAAACAGCTTGAAGTTAGATATCCAAATAGTATAACACTAGACACGACACTTTCGTCACTGTGATGGCACACTGGTTTATTCTTTTTGAAGAAGTCTGAACTCACTTGTTATTTACATGTCACTGTTTATGAGCTTTCAAAAGTTGTAATTTTTTCATAATAAGCACGTTATCTTCTAAAAAAAATGGGATTCATTTTAAAAATCACTTCCGTTACAGCGGTACATTTCTATAAATCGGAAATTGCTGAATCAAAACAGATTTTATTTCGAAAAAGAATTTTTATGTAATCTATATTACTAAGCGTGTTATGTAATTATCGTTCTGTGTATTATTAAAAAGAAAGTTGTTATATTGCTAGTGTAATAATTAGTATTATTATTATTGTTATTATTATTTGAAAAACAAAAATTCTAAATAAGTATTTTAATGTTTTAAATTAAAAATTAAAAAGGAAGACATGTATGAAAATAAAAAATCAGGTTATTAATCTAGTCAATGGCTACATTAAGCGTGACATTTTTCAAAAATACAAACATCACGTAAATTTTGGTTTATATAGAGAGGGGACAGAAAGAAAGATCACTCTTGAGTAAACTCTCAATCGAGTTCGAACTAAGGTCCAGACCTTTCGCCTAGGGCGGAAGCTCTCGTTTATCTTTGGGACAATTTACGTCCCAAAACAATGTGATGTGTAGAGTAAAGTTTTGTGTACGATTTGTAAATTATGGGCAAATATTTTTAACTTAATTTTAAAGTGTTTCGTTTAATAATAATTGATTGATTTACATATAAATGCCAATTTTATTTTATATACATATAATTTTTTGTTTTAGAAAAAAATTACAGCCAATTGCAACGATTGTTAAAATTTCTCATCAGTTAATGAAGCCGTAACTTCATTGACTCCTTAAATTATCTTCTAAATGGTAAATTTGGCAACAGCGTTTTTCCAAATGGCGTAGAGTATGACAATATTCGAGATACGTACCTATCAAGAATTATCTCTGTCTTTGTAAACCTATTAAATAGAACACAGTGCAGGTGAACACAAACGATTATTATATTTGTACGTGCGGAATACCTCGCGATGTTATGTGTCTCGAGAATTTTCAGAGCTTTAAACTTGTGCAACGATAAGGCAGGTATACAGAGACATTTAATTTCTTTTAATCGGACTTTATATTATGTAAAGAGTCTGTAATTTGATTTTTTAATCATGAAGACTAAAAATAAAAATCAGTTTAAAAACATAAAGTTGTTAAGGTACAATGTTATTTTTATAACTATATAGATACATAAAAATTCATCCAGAATTTATATTTGTTTCTAAATGGTAGAATTTCATTAAATTACATCGGAGCACAGTTTAAAGAATATATATGCTATATTAAAACTAACTGGTCAAAAACTGGAACTGTTAACTGATCAAGATATGTTTCTCTTTATGGAAAAGGGAATACGTGAAGGTATAAGTCAGGTCTGCTCAAAAAGAAGAACCCTACTATGATGTGTCAAAGCCGTCCAATTATTTGATGTACTATAATTAGTATGGATGAGCGATGTCGCAATATCTACCTTATGGAGGTTTCAAATGGGTGGATACTAATATTGATATTATGTCAATACATGACCATTCCCCTGAAGGGTATATTTTAGAAGTTGACTTAGAATATCCGAAAGAACTTTACAACGTTCATCAGGATTTACCCTTTTTACCTGAACATCTTAATCCTGCAACTTTGAGGCCATTTACAAAGAAATCTAAATTAATGGCAACATTACAAAACAAAGACAAATACGTGATCCATTATAGAAATTTAAAACAGGCGATAAAATATGGAGTAAAGCTAACAAAAATTCATAGAGTTTTAAAATTTAACCAGTCCCCTTGGTTAAAGAATATATATTCTTTAAACTGTGACCGGAGGATGTTCGAATCAAAGAGAATCTCTCAAAATCTGCTTTAAATCAGATTATTTTTACATGTGTGGAATCCAGCTGGCATTTTTTTTTTTGAAATTGCATGCTTTTATGTACCGGTGGTACTAGCTTGAAGTGACAGAAATTATAGGCTTTAACATGTCGAAGAGATAAATTGTTATAGAACGCAACGCTTGCATGAACCCTTACGGTAGTCAGTAGTCAATTATTTCTAAGCGAGTCTGCTCGTTTATTCGCCACTAATTAAAATTGTCCGTAATTATCTAGTGCAAGTTTAACAGAAGCTACAACTTTGGTGTAAAAGTATTTCTTTTTAATTGCAAGAGTATAAAAAAACGATCAAAAATGTTTTTTTAATTATTCTTTGAACAAAGAACTTCCTGTACTCATGGTAAGATGTCGAATATCTACTTTCTCCGCGATTTATTTTAATTAATCAAACTTTTTTTACAATTACTCGACACATTCCCAAGTACAATCAACCTTTATTTGATAGTGAAAACTATTCAATAATAATTATGAAATATATTTATTATAAGTTTAATTAATATAATAATAAAGTAGAAAACAAAATACATAAAGTCTGTCAATCACAGGATCTTTATTAGATTCAATTAATAGATTGCAAGCGCTTTCGATCTATAAGGTTATCTTCAGGATTTAAAATTCGACACGGTCAAGGGAAAAATCCTGTTTTTTACAGATTTTTCAGGGCAAATAACTTCAGAATTAAGATCAGACATAACCTTTTAAAAACTACAAGTATCGTAACAAAACCTAATCAACAACTGTCTAATAATATCATAGGGGATAAAGAGTAGACAAAGCATCATAATATGAAAATACATTCATGCATTGAGGGCAGAAACATCGGCCACGCCACGGTAGGATAGACCAGGGACTACTTGCTGCCTGGATCTGATATTAAGGAAGCAACTTATTAATCTGTGAATTGTATTAGAAATGTATACATGTAAATATTTTAAATAAATTAATTTTAATTTGATTTGGTCATCTTTAGGCATCTGTAATAATGTAACATTAGATAGGACATTCGAAACTGCATCCCGAATCGGTTAGGTAGAATTTTTAACAACGAAATTGTATCCGCGGTGTAAATATTACTACTAAAATTCTACGAAAATTTAACCAGTGTTGTCAAATGTAATTTTTGAAAGTAGGTACCTACCTACAAAGCAAAAGAAACATACTTAAAAGGTACTTTATTGAACCGTTACTAGAAAAATCGATTCAGGTAGGAAACCCTTTTTGGGATGCAGTTTTATAAGAGCCCATTAGATATCTACATAAACTATTTGACTAGGTGTTTTACCATTATATAAAAACATTTTAGGTCCATTTTATTTAAGTTTTATTCAAGAATCAATGTCAGAACTGATGTCATAATTATGTTAAGCCTTAAGTAGTTATATCATAATCGATGTCCTTTGAAGTGTATCCTGATCCGTCGAGCCTTGACTACCACTGATGAGGCGACGGGGAAGAAAAAAGAAACAGAGTTAAATAAAAAAATATTAAGAACACAGACAACTGTGTTTTATAAGTGAACATTTTTTTTATATTCTTCAGAAGTATAATTCAAATTCTACAGAAGGGAATTATAAATTAGATTCCATTGTAGCAGAGAAGTAGATAACGACCAAGAAAGAAGTGGTGGTAAGATGTACTAGACTGAAACACAATTAAACAAACCGTTATAGAAATGAATGAATCGCCTATCGAAGCATCCGCAATCTATAGAAATAACCATTATTATTAGAATTCATACACACAGTTTTTATAATTTTAAATCAGGCTCGTTGACACCTTTAATTGCACTTCAAGACAGATTCGCGAAAAAACCCACGTCTAAAGCTACAAAAAAAAATTCAAAACACAGACAATCTTTTGATGTCGTTGCAAAAAAATGTTCGTCGAATGACAAGGTGGCTTATTTACAACGCCGCGCATCGATAAATAAAAGTTAAGAGCACTTTTAAGCCAACAGGAGGACGATATTAATCGCCTAAGCATTCGAAAATAATCCGAAAATACTAAAACACATTCGAGAATATACGAGGGACATGTTGAAAATTTTTATAAACATTGTCATTATTATGACCTACCTTTTTAAGTTCGTACAACCAAATCAAGTAATTCAGTTAAATGTTCACACAAGTCAATTATATGTCAAAATGGCCTCACGTAAGCGTTTAATTTTATGAAGAAGTTACAGAAAATTGTTCAATGAGATCAAGAGACTCATGTTTGGACTACAGATTGGATAAAAAGTAGGAAAAATATTGGAGTTACTGCTACGTTACTAAAAATACTGCCGGAAGAAGATCGAAAATAATATTTGTACTTACTGATTAAGAAAGTACATTTTTTTTTTTTTTTAAACAAGATTAAATGGATTGAGCTCTTCTTACACAGGTACTTTAGGCGTTGCCAATTGAAAACAGACACCACTGCGCATTTCCACTTCAGACAAATTAAATTGTTCCAGCTTGTACACAGTCAAGTGTCACACACTTTCCGAATTGGTCTGGTAGTACTAGAAAATGATGATAGATACGAAAGTATAAGACATTTGGTGATTCCAAAGACTAGAGTATCCGAAGCACTTCGTCAGTTACACGACAGTCCATCAGGAGGACATCTCGGTGTTAAGAAAACCCTTCAAAGAGTTCGTGAAAGGTTTTATTGAATGAACAGTTTCGATGATGTAAACAACTGATATAAGAAATGTACTATAAGTAATGGAGTTCATCAGAAAAAGGTTTTAAACGGAAAACCAAAGGTAGGCATTACTGAATTTGAGAGAGAACGTAATGGATTCAAATGTGCAGAAACTAGACTCACGAAGATACTTGCAAGTTATCGAAGTCCAAAAACTGCTCTGCAACAACACGCCAAGTGTTCAGGTTACAATGAAAACCCTCTCTTGTTACTTTCATGCAACTGGAAATTGTACAACAGGATCTAGTTACAGATACAATAATTCAGTTCCACTTCCGTAAAAATTCCAGGAGGAACTACCTATTTATTTAGGAAGTAATGTCGTTTGAGCTATTTTCGACCACTCTGGACTTGGTCTAAGTCCTTAAGTCCCTCACGGGTTATTTGAGTCTTTTACGCCCTCAATTTTTCCCGTTACCAAAAATAATCAATGAAACTAGTCACCTCCGAAACCCTCCTTGATACGCCTATAGACACTGCCAGTTGAAGTTACAGATTGTTCCGGAATGACAAGAAGCTCCTAGATTAGTGTTTTTCAAACTTTTTTGACGACGGAACCTTTTTGAAAAGCGAAATATTTGACGGAGCCCTAAAACCGCGGGGTATTTAAGTTCCTTAGTGAAATAAATAAAAAAAAAATAAATAAATAAGATCCTGAAGCAAAATTAGATCCTTTCGTAGTAAAATCTAAAAAAAAAAAAACAAAAAAAAAGTCCTCAGAACAGGTCCTCCCGAACTTCTTCATAGTACTCCTTTAGTATTTTTTTTTATTATGGCTACTACTTTCGCGGAGCCCCCAGCAGGGGCTTTGCGGAGTCCCAAGGCTCCTCGGAGCACACTTTGAAAAACGCTGTCCTAGAGATATCGATTTTGGTAGACATTCTTGTCTATAAAATGATGAATACGTCGATGTATATCCCAAGCGCTGCCACCAATTATCGAAAGATGTTTAAAACACTCTAAAATGGCCACATTTGTATATAAATAAGATTGTTTGCCATTTTAGTTCAGTTCATCAAGAAATCATTCAGTACATAAATATTGTCTATATAAATTAGTGTATAAGTAAATGTCTACATAAATTAGTGTATAAATAAATGTCTACATAAATTAGTGCATAAGTAAATGTCTACATAAATTAGTGTATAACTAAATAGAAATTAGTACTATACAAAGACAAGACGTCGATGAGGATATTTTAACACCTAATTTAGTAAAATAGTTTTGAATTACTTTGCTGTGAAATTGTCATTAGATTAAGCATTTAATTTCTAATAATTATCATTCTTTCATTCATTTGCTGTGTTCTCAAAATAAAATAAAATAAAATTTGTGTCGACCTTTAAATGACTTATCCAAAAAAATTGTGTAAAAAATTGCAAGATCTATCAAAATCAGGTAAAAAAAACTGGGGTTATTATTTAAAAAAAAAAAAAAAAAACTTTTAAAGATGTTACTGCCCAAAAATGACAAGTGGGGGAAACTTAAATTCTTTTTAAAAAATTGCGCTTTTAGTAAACAAAATTGACCTGCCCAAGCATTTTTTTTCGAAAAACCAACTATTACCATTATAATTCCATTATAAACTGAAGAATTTGACGGCCCTACGAAACAATGAATATATGTGAAAGTCGTTGTACACCAATAATAAACAACGTATAAAATGCCAAGCCATGTTGCCACATCTAGTACAAAATACTTGATATCCAACTTAACATTAACTAGGTTTTGGAATTTATCGAAAATTATTAAATCTAATTTAGTTAAATTTGATATGACTAATGATTCAAAACTTTTTGAATTCAGTTGCAATAAAATAGGAGAATAATGAAATAGCGGGTATCATACCGTGTCCCTTAGAATGTCTTATCCACGAATGCACGATATTTATTATATTTTTGGTATTGACTGACTCTAAAGAGCAATTGTTTGAAGTTTGAAAAAAGAAATTGATTCGAACATTTTCATTGGATCTATAAAATTTCAGCATGGGCCTCGTATGTATTTACTTTCGGGTTAGAGATAGGATACGGTTTAAAAATAAATCGACTTATTAATTCGCGTTGAAACATATTTATTATAGAATGAGGCGCTGCGCGCAACGAGGAGAGTTAGAGAAGAAAAAATTCTGCGTTATACTGACCTACCCGAAGGCCAACACAATCCTCATGTCGATTGTTTACGATTCCAACTCAACATTTAGTCACGACGATACAAACAAAAAATATTTCGATTACACATGTTTGGTCGTAGGAAAAATAGTGTACATAACTCGAAAGCGCTCGTTAAGTTACTAAGTTGTGTACAATTTATAACCTTGTAAAAATAAGTCAAGAATTTTAGCTTTTGTTTTTCTACAGGGGGTTTGGTAATAATGCGACAAAAATGCAAGAGGTTCTTCATTGGACTAGTCTAAGAATATTTTGTTATTTGATGATTTGTGAAAACCAGCTTTGTTTAGAAGAGTTCGGCAGTAAATAATGAGAAGATTGAATCCAAGAGTTCATTATGTAAATTATTTAATTACGGGCCTGAGATAAAAAGAAAAAAAAATATTTTGATTCATGTTCTTCTATAAAAATTCATCAATTAATTAACCCTGTATATGCCGGAACTAAACAATAATATTTTAAAGGCAATAAGGTTATCCTGGATGATATTTAGAAAAAAAAAAGGTTATTTATTTGGTCATTATTAGTTTGAGCTTTTTTTGCTTATGAAAAAATTGTAGACATCACTATTGTAAACAAAAAATCTTAGTTCTATATCTTGGGCAAATTAATAAAGCCGACACAATTTTTTTTAAATAAATAAACAAGCCTATTCTTGAAATCGGAGAGTGAAAAATATTGAGAGCAAATTCTCACTTTCTATTCCCTTGTAAAAATTAGTATTCTTGAAATCGAATTCACCAAAATTAGTGAGGAATTTTCTCTCAAAACTTTCTGCTACTTTTAGGTAGAAAAAATGAAAATAACGAGAGAATTCAATTCACAAGCATGCACAGTGCGTGTCGGAATTTAAATAAATAAAAATCAAAAAATTTTTATAACCTCATTGATGTTTTTAGTAGGTTTTAAGTATATTTATAAATTTGCGGTATTTACCTTCCATTTCAAATGGATTTAGATACGAATATAATAAGATTATTTTTATTCAATACAAATAAATTTTAGACAAAATGACAAAAATGATAACAGACCTAATTGACCAACTAACCTATTCCTCTGAAGTTCAATTATTTTTAGTAAAAGTTATCCTATTAAGAACCTTATTTTTTTTTACACAAAATTTAGGCGCATACCACAACAACTACCACCATTCGTTCCCTCATCGGCTTTATTGCATTCGAAAAGCAACAAACAAAACCAGCCGTATCAAATTTTAATACATCATCACATCACACTTTTTCCTTGAGACAGACTCGCAAAAATCCAAAACGCGCATGTGTCTCGCAACACAACTTAACCATGAATCTTCACGACAGAGCTCTGGACGCTGGACGTCGTCTGTCGTTTTTATTGGTCTGTGTCACCAACGGCAATCTCAGAAAAAATTTTACAACACAAATAATGCATTACCACTGTATGTAGCGATCTATCTGAATATATACACTATAATAATTAGAAACCCCCCAACGTGGGGGTTGCAAACATTCCGACTAAGCCGGGTAAACACACGTGACAATGACGTTGAGGGATTCACTCAAGCGTTGCGCACTTTTTATGACACTAACCACCAACGAAAATAAAAAAAAAACTAAATTCAATTCTGTTTATTACGTATATCCATCAATTATGTCACGATTGTAGCGGGCATGGCCGATTCTGAATTTGAAATCACTTTTTATTTTTGCGATTTTCGGCTTGGTAACAAGGCGATCGCCGTCGGTAAGATAGTCGAGGATTGACTGATATTTTTCGTGTTGCGCCGGGCAGCCGTGGGGGGAGCACGCGTATGTTTCTCGGTGCTGCTGGCTATAGTCGAGTCAATGAAGGTGTTTTCTTCGAATCCTCCTCTAGAGTAAAATAAAAGGAATGTTTTCCTATTCCTTTATAATGTATTCTTTTTTAATTTTTTCTGTGATAAGTAAATTTATTTCATTGATGAAATTATTATGATAACACATTTCTATTATTATTATATTAATTTAAATTTAAGCTGAGAGATAAATTAAAAAGGTTACCATTTTTATCAAAAATGTCCAGTTTCATCTTTTGGTACCAGAAGGGTTTGCAAATGTATCTATTGATATTTATTTTTTCTTGAATTTTTGTAATTCTACAAACTTCTTTAAATATTAATTAAAATAAACAATACTATTCTAATTGTCATTAACCCCCTTAACCCAATCAGAGTCAATAAGTATCGTTCCCTTATTAAAGAGATTGTTTTTCTTGGAGATTTTAACTTGATTTCATTTTTTATAATTTGGTTTTAATATTTCAATCCCTCTTAACCCATATTTTTATTTTTTTTTAGAATCAATAGGCTTCATCTCGTTATAGAGATTGGTTTTTATTAAAAAAATGTATGTTGATATTGTTTTTCATTTTTGATTTATATTTTTAATATTTCAGTCCCCCTTAATATTCAGATTTATGATTTCCTTTTTAAATTTCAACACTCCTTAACAACCCTCTTTCAATTCAACTGATTCGAGTGACGTTCTTCTTGTAGCCTTTGGTACACAAATATCTATTTTATTTCTATTTTATGAAAAATGTATTTCTGATCTATAAAATTGTTATTTATGATAAAGAAATCTTTTAGTTTATTAAAACAAAAATAAAACCTGAATCGATAACAAATCAATGAAAATGTTGCTAGAGTTGGTGACGTTTTTATAGAAAATTTTAATGTTACTATTTTTTAGAACGTTGTAATCATACTATTGTTTTTCTAAGTTTGATAACCATTTTGATAAACAAGACGACATAATTTTTGTTAAATTAATATTTAACAATACTTTTTTTTAATATTCGTAACTTATGACGTAATTAAATCAATTATTTTTTTTAGTAGATATTTAAACAAGAATATTCTTAGATAATAACAGTACAAAGCTTATTGAATTGTTAAATAACTTTAACTTTATTTTAGCTTCTTCTCTATAGCTTTATTATAAATAAATTTATTTTAGCTTAACTACAACTTTATTATAATCTAACTAAGTTATATATAACTTATAGCTTCTCTACAGCTTTATTATAAACTTTGTTTCTTTTTATATTCTCTAGTTATTAAAAAAAAATCATATCAAACGACTTCTCATTTCATTCTAATATTGTAGCCTTTTTTATGAATATAAATGGACGCTTAACATAATATCTATTTTCGTTTTCAATTCGTAAAGTGGTGTAATGAACCAAACGACGCGTTGATCCGCAATCAGTGCCTGATATCGAACAGTGTCCGTTCGATTCGTATCAGGAAAAATAGGTTGAGGTTCGGACCAGAGAGTGAAAGTAGGTGACCAATTGGTTTGTCAATGTCTGCATCGTGCCGCGTGTGGATTTAGTAATTATTATTACAAAAACCGCGTTCTGAATCTAACCAACTGGTAAATAAATATTAACGTAAATAAATAAAGTAACAATTAGAAATTATCATTTTTTTTATGAGTCAGGTTGTAAAAAAATACGCAAATGAAATCGTATTATAAAAATAAATGAAATAATTTAAAAATGTTAGTACGTACGTTGTTTTGAATAGAAACAAATGGAGATCTATATACAGGGTATTCACCATCATTGGTTAATAAATAAAAAAATAAATTATAAAAATATATAGATCTTTTGTCAGTTTCACATTTTTACATATTAAAAAACAAACCTATCCAGATATTTGGAAAATTTCTGCTGTCTTCAAAGTTGGTAAAGTTTCCGATATATCAAATTACCCATCAATCGCATTAATCTGTTTTTCCTAAATTATATTATGTTTTGTGAAATTAAGAAGTCCGCGTTAAATCTGTGTACTTACATTTAATTGCACACACAGATGTTAGTAAAGCATTTGATAAGGTGTCTCACAAATAATATCTTCTGAAACTGAGTAAATTTGGTGTTTCAAAAAGCAAAATATCACTGTTAAAATATTTTTTATCCCATCGACAATTATATTGATGCAAAATCTATTAATTTCGTATCAAAGTCTGGGATTCCTCAGAGCTCGAATTTGGACCCAATAGTATTTGTTATTTTTATTAATATTAGTCGTATCAATTTTAAGAAAAGATTTAAAGGAAATAAAACATACCTTAGAAAAAGAAATGCTGTTTTATATGATTATTAATTAGATAATCTTGTTATATCTTGAAATATAATATTTAGGTATCTTGTTTGACAGCAAATTGACTTTTTCGTAACACATTGAAAACACTACAAAGTGCAATAAAAATCTTGGGTTTTATTATTAGAAACTGTAGGAATCTTTAAAAGCTGTTTATTTTTCACTAGTGCGTAGCTAACTCGAGTATTGCAGTTATGTTTGGAATTCTAATCATTTAAAGTACATAAGTACATTAGAATATATACAACGAATTTTTTTAAAATGTATTTACTTTTAAAAACATGGCCATTATCCCGCACGTCACTATGACTATAATTTATTGTTAGAAGAATTTAATTTTGTGAGTCTGTGACTTAAAAGGGACCGAATTACGTCGAGAGTTAGAGGAACATGAACTGGAGACAACAGGAAAGAAAGCAGAGCTGGCAGAACGTCTGAAAGAAGTAATAGAACATGAGGGTTTGGATCCAGAGACGTATCTATTTTCAGATGATGCGTCTATATATCTTCTTTGGAAAGTAAAATGTCTTCTATGAAAACTAAAGTTTCTTCTGTCATTATTTCCTTGGAAACTAGTTTATTCTGGCATTACTTCCTTAGAAAGTAAAGTTTTATCCAATATTTCTTCCTTAGAAGAAAATGTCACTTCTAACATATTTTCTATAAAAATCAAAATTTCAAATCAAAATTTCTTTCGATTTAGAAAATAAAATCTCTTCATTGAAAGATGGATATTTCTTCTGATATGTCTTTTTTAAAAAATGAAATCTCTGCTGATGTGGCTACTCACTACCAGAGGGAGAATGTATTCTGAATACTAATACTGATATTAAATAAAAAATAATTTTTGGATACTAGATTTAGAGGTTATAGTTTAAACGAAAAAGCATTTTAGATAATGTATATTAAGTTTCAATAAACGACTAATTCCACTTTTAGTTTATGATCAATTCATCCAATAGCAATACACTAAGTCTTGGTAAATTTAATATATCTTAAGTGACTTTCAAAAGTAACTCTCTCCCGTAAACTAGACTACACTTTGTATACAAAGCCATTCGGATTTGTGTTCGATAAAGACTCTTTTTTAATAAAAATAACAATTAAAATGATTTAAAAATACGGATCTTAAAATAGAAGATAATATTTTTAACCTTAATCGGAGTCATAATTATGATTTATTTTCTAAATTCTTAACCTCATAAAATGGGGTACAAACAAAAATTACCTAATGTTTTTATTATTCACTACATAAGGCTTTATGTAACGATTTATAGCATCAACTGCAACTCTATAATTCCCACGATATTTACTGTTGTGGTTCTTGTACGTGGGCAACACCAATAAAACAAAAATATGGTTATTCGTAATTAAAAGTGTAAGAATTTTTACGATTTCCATAAAAACGAGTCCAGTTATTAAATTTGTAATTACGATTTGTGTTTTTTCGAGGAAAATTATTAAACAACTCGGAATTTTTTATTAGTGTTTATGTTTGAGTTATTGACATCTATAAAAATTTTAGAAATATAATAATTTATAAAAAATAGATGAATCACATGGGTTTTTAATTTTTTGAATTATAGTCTATTTAAAATAACGGTAAAAGGTCGAGAAATGGCGCACTTGACGAGACCATTTATCTCCTACGTATTTTGAAGCGCTGATTACGGAAATGAGGGTTAAAACTGGCAGCAATGGTTGGAACACCCCTAAAATTGCAGAAAACACCCCTACATAGGGGTGTTTTTCGACTGTACTTGTTGTTTTGTAAACTAAGCCACCCAAAAAACATATAAGATGACATAGTTCGCGAAACACCGTGACATTTTTTCCGAAAACTCACCCCTTGGGAGGGGTGTTTTTGGCATGTGGGGGGTGTCACACAAATTTTCCAGTTTCGACACCCCGATTTTCGAAATCAGCGATCCAAAAAATATATGAGATGAGTTAGTTTGCAAAACAACAAGTACAGTCGAAAAACACCCCTACTTAGGGATGTTTTTTGCAATATTAGGGGTGGTTCAACCATTGCTGCAAGTTTTAACCCCGATTTTCGTAATCAGTGCCCCAAAAAACATATTAGATGAGTTAGTTTGCAAAACAACAAATACAGTCGAAAAACACCCCTAGGTTGGAGTGTTTTTTTGCAATTTTAGGGGTGGTTCAACCATTGCTGCAAGTTTTAACCCAGATTTTGTGCGGCGTTCCTCGAACTTTTACCGTTATTTTAAATGGACTATTAAACTTTGGGTTGAAAATGAGACTGTTATTCGAAATGTACCCCCATTCACTCTCCTGATTTAACCACAATTAACTTTTGCTTTATGAATTAAATATAATCGGTATAGAAATGTGGATAAAGAGTAACTATTATATTGATATTACTTTGGTTTAGATTCTACACAGTAAATAATGTCTTTCTTATTTCGACACCTGTAAATACTTTAAACATTTGAAACAACATACCATAGACTACATAAACCCTGTGTTAAGCATTAGGAAATTAAATTTACAATCAATTTTCAATTTTTAATCAACTTAATTGCAATCTTATTCAATTTAATTAAAATTAATCTTATTTAATCACAGCTTTCAATCAATT